AATGTCATGAAAATAAGTTCATTGAAGCAGTTTTAACCGTCTATTGATAAAATACGACTGATGAGGGCAAAAATACTAAAACTTAAAATATAGTATCTATTTACAAACAGTCTCTTGTCCCATCTCTCATTCTACCTTGCTCTTGCCTTTCATATTTCTTATCATTTGACTATCTGAGATAGACTTAGTTTGGCAGACTAGTACTTATACTCATATATATATAACTTGTTTCACATTTCTAGCTAATAATGTCTGTTATGTTTTCTCGATCCCTCACTAGTCAATTATTAACACTTTAGGGGTTCTAGATGTGTTACTGTTTTGTAACTCTTAGCCAACCCTACCTGACTGGATGTGCTGCAGTACCTATAGTACCTGTAGTACCTTGCCCAACGTGTAAGTACCGGTAACGAAACACAAATCAAAAGGACTGGTATTCAGGAATATATTTAGAGATGCAATGTATTTAATTAAAATAAATGTGATAGTGATTATAATGAGTAAATTTTATCCAACTTATCTGGCTAGTGTAGCTGAACTAGGGATTCTGAGGATGTGCGTGTTAATCAGCACCAAGCGAGCGCAAAACGAAACTTAAAATACCTTAAGTATCCGAAAGCAAGCTATACGTTTATTGAGTTAATTTAACTCAATCTGTTTATTTTAGCCTTAGTTACGTTTTGGTGACAGATAGGTTCGCGTTGCTACATAAGCTAATTATTGGCGTTATTATAAATAACTGTCTCAGCAGTCAGAATTATCAGTAATAAATAACAGATAAGTTTATTTAGAGGGTGAAATGACAGACAGCTAACGAAAACCAGATGTTTTCGTACCAGTCTAAATAATATGCAAACCAAAATATTTAGTTATCATAGTGTCATAGTCAGAATATATACCTGCGGAAAACAACAGGAAAGTAAGTATCATAGCAGTTAGCAGATAAAAATAAAAACAAGACAAAAGAGAAAGAGAATAAGTATAGAAAAAACTGCCTCATCTTTGAACGACGTTAGAAGAGTTGACATATCTAACAAGAACGAAAAATAGAAAAATCTAGAGAAAATAAGAATTGGCAAAACTAGAGAATATATCTACAAAACACTAGGGGAGTAGCTACTTATAATGAGCATCTGTTTGTTTGGAGCAACGCACACAATACAGACGATTGTGATGACTACTTCACATGAAATCATGCCTTATCTGATGTAAGGAGGCTTTAAAGTCAACGGCATCTGTGAATTGCCTTGCATACTACTTCTAACTTATCTTTCTATTGATTGATAAGACAAGTTTATTTTTAGACATATGATATCTGACATAATATCGATCAACTGCGTATATCTATGGTTTGAAATAATGCCAAAAATAACCAGTTCTATACAAACATACATGTATAATAAACTCTCAGCTACATTGAGGCAACCGAATAGGTTCATTAAGCAAGTAATCGGTCTGAAAAAATAGATAGTGTTTGATATAAGTGCTGTATGTGACCTCACGAACATCCATATTATTGTTTTATGGTGGACAAACCTGGTATTTATTGCGTAAATTATTCGTTCCCGCTAGATGAATTATCTGATGATAGTAACCTTCTAGCTTAAACCTCTTTTGGTGCATAAATGTGTGTCCGCCTAACTTGTCTCCCTGCTGCTTCATTCTTATCCTTATTCCACATAAAATTCACTAATCTTGATTAGTTATCCGCAGTTGATCACGAAGGCACTAATGTGTACAAATATGTGTGGCCATAGATATATCCCTATACATTCGTCTCTCTACGTTAATGAAAATTCTAAGGCCCCAGTATTCAATTACCACTGTTGAGTAAACAGCATCACGTCGGTTATTATTCACTGGTGGGTTAGTAGATAATAGTTTTAGAGTTAGAAAATATTGTTAACTTAGAAGAACTCTAATATTGACATTTGACAGATGCTAACAGCAAATACGGCCTGCTTTAACTTTGGGCTGCCAGTGAAATTTTCTGCAAGATATATATCAAGTTCTCCCATTTTATTTTGTTTTGACCTATCAAATATATCCTCCATAAGTATCACGTATTCTTGCAGATTTCTAAAATGTTCTGAGCTAGCCGTTTTTCGAATTAATAATGAAATGTAGGAAATATGTCATGTTAGGTGGAAATGGCTTTTTGAATGCTCAAACATACATCATATTTCTCATTCCTTGTATACCTGTCTGAAATAGCACATTCTTCTGCTACCTTAATGAACTACCATCACTAAACACCGGATGCTAATCCAGTACCGACCGGCTGCTTCACACTTTTTCCTTGTATGCTGTAGTTATCAACGTCATTCAGATGCAATCATCATTTTCTTTGAAAACATTATTTTGTGAGTAAATTTCTTAAAATATTACGTGCTCAGAATTCCATACTATGTCGAATATATATTGCTTAGACTAAAGCTATTATTACTATTATTATCATTGTTGTAGTATCTGACGCTTATTAGGGCAGATATACAAATCGCCTACGGTCATCGGTAACAGTGATGAATCCTCATTTCTCTTTCGGTGATTTCTACACAAATTTTTCCACTTCTCCACTGTTTCGTGTTTATCCACATTTTTATTTTTCTTATCGTATTCACTGTGTACATGGGTATATTATTTTCAAATGCGTTGGCTTCTGTCTGTCCTTTTGTTTCAGTGTTTTTTCTCTTGTAATTTGAGTATTAGCCGTAACTTCTTTACGACATTTAGGCGAATACTGGGTGATATTATTTGCTTATTTTTATTTTTTATATGTGCTTGATTTTCAGTTTTTTTAACTTCTCATTTATATGTTTATGAGATTTAGGAAAACTGTTAGGCTGACTCAATCTCCTTATGTAGTGTTTTCATAGTGTCTCTACGCGATGACCGCTTGTTTTCATGTGTCTATAATTACAATTATTTAGCGAAATACATCTCAGTAATGAAGCGCGTTTCATTACGTAACAATATTCTGTTGATCCTCAGAGAATACTGAAATAATTGCTGTGTTATAGGTAGATAATATGAAGTACATGCTTAGCAAGGAAAGCTTCCTATCCTAATAAATACTTATTATTTAGAGTATAAATGTATAGTGAATAAGAAGCTGACTATTCATACCTGTTTTATTGACATAAATTTAATTCAAACTACTCTTTTATAAATGATCCCTACTGGTATCTATCATGTTGCCATGTAAGCTTAATGTAGCGTTACTGAAGTAAATGGTCATTATTTTGTTCCAGTTGTCTGTGAAATGAATAATTTGAGTGTAATTTTATTTATTCTCTTCATTTCTTTACAATATTTCTAATATAGAGTGTCACATTAAGCTTACATGGCAATGTACCGGATACTAGTAGTGTAAATGACCCATCAATGAACATAATACCAAGTAGAATTGTTCTTAATGTGAGTAACTTAAGAGAAATTGCAAATTGAAAAATTTCTACACCACTTTATTCGTGACCTGAAATGTTAATTTTTAATCTAATCGCACTCTGACTTGTTGTTGTCATAATTTTAATATTTTACTTCTCTCTGTTTTCTGAGAATTGGTGTATACGCTTTATTGAGATAAGGAAAATTGTCGGTCTCTTATAAGGTAACTTTCTTTTCACGTTTACACAAAAAATGTTGAAGCATACCCATGGTTTGAAAAACGTTTGGAGGGAAGTGGACCAAGAAATATTACAAATATTTAATTTCTGTCTAAATGGATTATATAGAGACGCAGGGACTCCCTAGTTAAGGTTGTCACAGTGCTAAAATTTAACGGTTGCAACCGATAGCGACAATAACCGAAGTCAGTTGTAAGGAATCAGGTATATTCATTCTTTATCCTCCACCAAGTATTAAACTCTTCATTATTCTTCGGGTTTCTAAAGAACAGCATACTCTAATTAACTTGGTGGTGGCTATCAGTGGAATATAGGATGCGTCGTGTTTGGGACTCACCTTCTGGATGTACTTGGGTCCCAAGTACAACAACAGGAAATTACAATTATCAGCAAATAACCTCGTACTTTGTTTAAAAAACCAGACTCTTATTTCCGTATTATGAAATCGAATGAATTATTTCTACTACCTAAAAGACTAGTTAACATCAATGGTTGAATACCTCTTTCATCAATCGGGGTCGTTTCCATAAGTAATGGTATCTAGTGAAGCACACATAATTTTCTTAGCACTTAAGTTTTGTGTTTAAGAAAACTAGAACGGTGGGAATTTCCAATCGGCTTTTACCCAGTAGTCCTATTCTTACTGAATAGGAACTAAGTTATCATTCATTAATTAAACTGTTTCATTTAGGAATATTTAGTGACAGACTATTCAGTCCTTAGCTATGAACTACTGAGTTCCTTCCTAGTTGTTAAAATGACTTAGTATTAGGATATGAACCACTGATTTTCCAAAAGATGAAAAACACCACAGTGCTCTATTTCTCCCTACATTCTCGCCTTTGTAATAGCCTTTAGTATATCTAACAAATCAAAGCACAGAAAATAATTTTACACGTAATCAGTACTGCTTCATTACTGTAAAGCAATAAAAGAATGAAAAGACAGTTGGTTTCATTGTGCATTTATATATATATATATATGCAATATTTTTTAATGATACTGTCAAAGATGATATATCAGTGCATTCCACTGGACTAAAAAGTAAATCATTTAACTTCTTATTTCATAGGTGAATACCAAATAGTGTTTAGTGCAGCATACATTAAATCCTGATACTATTCACTTGTTATTAATGTTTAAATGAATACTGATCTTCGTATGAGCCTTTCTAATTGTAAATATATATTGACAAAAATTCACTTGAAAGAGCTTTTGATTGAAGATAACAACATACTTTACATTTCAGGATAATGATACATTTCTTCAACGATAGTATTTAGGTATATTTGTTACAAGTATTCGATTTGATGGTTTTAAGTTTTTACTTGATCGAAATGATAATTCATTATTATTATTATTTTCATCCATGTTTCATTGTTTTAATAACCTACTATAGCTTGGTCTAGAACGTGATCTTGATTGACCTTGTATTCTCTTGTTAAATCTTTGTTTTGGAGAACGAGATGATAATGGTCGTTTCATTGGACGGCTTTGTCGTCTGTGTTGTACCTCTGAACGATTTCTTTGTCGAGGTCGAGGTCTCTTATTTTTTGCATTTGATTTTCGACGTGGTGAACGTCGTTGCCTACGGTATTGTCTGCTTAAATTACTTCTTTCTGCTTGTTGCATACTTTGAAGTCCTTCCCCCTCTTCTTCTTCCTCTTCTGGTTCAGCATTATGGTTGTTACTATCTTGTAAGCAGTTGTCGATCATTTCGTTCGGTTTTAGATGTTTTTACTGAAGAATAACTATTTCACTGCTCAGATTTATTCAAATGTATTGACTGGTTCATACTGTATTGACTAAGTATAATTGATTCTTCTCTTATATTGATTATTGTCTATATATTAACTGCATTATGGATTTTAATCAAACTAATGTAGGAAGAGTTTATTAGTTAAGCTTTAGCAATGTAGGTGGCAGGTATTTGTGATACTATTGTCTTATAAGCATCCAGACCATACTTGTTACAAATATCCTAGAAGTTGAGTACCAAGTTCCATTCAATCATTATCAGAGTATGTTTCAATATAATTGCAGAGTATTTAGAAGGTTAAAACGAGATTTTTCTGAAACTTTCGCTGTACTTGTGTGAGAATACTATTTTGATGAACACTCATCGTTATTAAAGCTTCAGTTCGTAAAGGTTATCATTAATGATTTCATGAGAATATTGTCTGCCAAATATTTTGCAGGTCTATTCCTTCTTTTCTGTTTATAGTATGTGACGTTGAAGAAGCTTTAGCTTACATGGCGAAACTTTCAGAAAAATGTTGTTTTGATTTTTTAAACACGCTGAGATTACATTAAAATATACAGTTATTCTGCTATCTTGTTAAACTTAGGGATGTGAGTAGGATTTTAAGTTTGAAAGCATACATATTTGCTTGTACCAATCATCTTTTCAAATTAAGAGAAGGGTAATAAAAGAAATATTTGCAGGAGTTAAGTGGGTGGTTAAAAATCCCCCAATTATGATTCGTAGATCAGAAGGAATTAGTAGTTGAAAGCTACTCATAAAAAATTCGAAGGTTTTTCCATGATTTAAGTGTATTTTCACCATATCTATAACCATTTAAATTCTATTCGTAATTTTTACTTCTTATTTTCAGGAGGAAGATAAAGTTACGTAGTCGGTTATTTAAATGGAATTTCCAAAATTCCTATTGTTTGACAGAATTTAGTAAATTATTTTTAGTGTAATTATTCTAATGAAAAGGGATTCAAGTGCTATAAAAATTGATAAAAAATGAGATTTTCTTAACCTTTAAAGCCGCTATAGACTTCAAGTGGGACGGTACAGAATACCGTGAAACCATGCTCGAGTTGACCAGAAGTAATGATGAAAGTGAATAATTCTCTTGAGTTTGATGTCAACGAATATGACTGTAACAATGATGTCAGTATTTTAATGTCATAAATGAAGAAACAGAAATCATCAAAGACCTGCTAATAAACCTAATCTGTCTGTACAGTAAAAGGAGTGGGGTTTCAAAGACCATCCCAACAACCAATGCAGTCACTGATTTTTTTCTGTTCAGTTGTAAAAGTAGTTTCTTCGCAAAATAAAAAAGCCAAATTGGCTGTTTTAGTTGTTTCTCACATGGCCTTTAGAATCATTAGGCGTACACATGTCATAAATATTCGCAAGATATTTATAATTATAAAGTCAGGATTGGAATACTTAGTTGGGAAATGTTGATTAGAACGTCTACACTTCACTGTTTTAAATACTCTTTGAAAATCACTGAATACTTTATCAAATCACCAGTGGGACTGCCTTATATTGCCTCTTTACGTTTATATCTATCATCCAGTATAATATCCATAAGTCTGTGGGAATTTTGGCTCGTCTGACTTCAGGCAAATTCAAATGAATTCACATCTCTGTCTGTTTGTGGAATAGCTTTATTGTCTTCATAATCTCTAATGGGATTTTATGATCATGATAAATATTCAGTTAAATCTGAAATGTCTTTAAATGTCAACCTGGAAACTATTAAAATAACCAATTAGGTTTACTTATTCCGGCTGGAAAGGTACTTTTTCACAATATGCAGAAAGTTAGTTCGCTATTTAGCTGGTTGCTAGGGTGGTCTTCAGAGTCACTCTTGAATCTGTACAGTACAGCCTTTAGTATTCCGTCACTGTCCCAGTAACCAATCTCTATTTTCACCTCATCTTAATAAGGGAAAAATAAGGATAGGGCAAAACCACAAAAATGTTACAAGATGTAAACTTAGTGCCTATTAGAGGATCTTACTTAACTTAAAAGGGAATGATCGATCAACCAAGTAATTTAACTTATACGGAAAAAAGCAGCCATTTCTATGTTCTGACTGACGCATGTTAAGGGAGACGAAAGAATTAACAGTTTTTAAGAGTAATGTAGTTAGGTGGGAGGAGTGACTGATTATTTAATCCTTGTTGATTGGATTAACTTCCAACATGATTCAGCGCCAATCTGAGATAGATGGGAAATTCTACTGTTAATTAATCCAGAAAATAAAAAGTAATAGAATTATGAAAACCAAGCCAGACATTTTGTGGCTATTCTGATATGATTATGCGAAATCAGTTGTGTCCGAGACATTATGCGGTAAAAAATCCTGGATCATTGTGTGCTATATCAAACGAACATTTTGAATAGGCAATTACGCTCTACTACAGTTCTACTTTTATATGAATGTGACAAAGTAATTTTGTGATACACGTAATTTAACGTTTCGGTGCTACATTCACTTCATCCTTGTCAAAACCTATGGACATGTGATAATGACCGATTCCAAAAGCCACCTTAGGAACCACTGAAATAAATAATATATTTTCTCTATTTCAGTCGCAAAGGTAGCTTTTACAGAACCCTGTTTGATGAGTTCAGTAGTTGTTAGTCTGTAGCGTCATACACTTCCCCAAAATCAATAGCCTAGGGTTTGACGACTTCGACATTGATGCTGACCTTGATAGTTTAACTGGACTCGCTAAGCTGAAGGCATCCGGTCAAGCATCCTGGCCATTTGGCACGCTGTCGTGTTACGTTGCATTGCTCGTATTCGACTCTCTAGCCAGTTAGTTGGAACGCATCGGTATTTTGGCATAACCATCCAAATATACTATTCCATCCGACTACGCTATCGTGTTCTTCCTTGGTCTCGTATTCGTGGGTATATAACAAGTTCGAATAATTAGTGATTGGTCTTTGCGTCTGTCAAGTTCGCACCAGGACAAATCCTAAATTGGTGAGCCCGACGTGATCACATATCCCGACCAATAACAAGTATTGAATTGGTGAGCCTGTTCCATTTTATATTTGTTTATTGTTTTCATTTCGATAACATTTATATATCCATTTACTACACTTTCTCATGTCCGACCACACTCCCAAGCTTATTCGTATTAAGCCGACTTCGAACACGATCCAACTCGTGCCATATTGGCCAGACAATGCAGAAACATGGTTTCTGTATGCCGAGGCCGATTTTCGAGAACAGGGTGTCTCAGATCCTCATTCTCGATTTCTTGCTGTCATACGTTCACTACCGCGAGAATTAAACAGGTATGTTACAGCAAACATGTTTAATCCTGAAGTAAGTGACCCTTATGCACTTCTAAAGGCCGCACTCTTGAAGAAAAGCGATCTCACAGATCGCCAACGTCTAGACGAATTGCTTCGTAACATCGAGCTAGGCAGCCACTCAGCTACTGAAGTCCTCGCACGCATGCGAGAAGTAATCGGTGCACGAACATTTGACGATGGTTTCTTCCGAGAACTATTTCTCTCGAAACTACCACAACCGGTGCAAACCGTGTTGGTGACACTCCAGTCAGTCCCACTCGACGACCTGGCAGCCTCAGCAGATAAAATACTGGAGATATCCAGCAGACCCGTCTCCAACGTATATTCTATCTGCGACAAAACAGAGCGCCAGGATTCGGAGGTGACCAAGTTGTGCAACTCTGTGAAACGGTTGCTACGATCTCGAAGTCCTAGATCACGTAGCACTTCACAGAAACGCACCTTGGCGCATCGCAGCAAGTCGCGTGGTAGCCCTAAAACGAAACCCAACAGGGTGGAAAACCCTGAATGGTGCTGGTTTCATAACACTTACGGGGATGAAGCCAGAAAATGTCGTAAACCATGCCGTTTTAAGAAGGACCCGAACTCGGGAAACGGTCACGCCGGCACGTGCTCACGGCAACCGTAGCCGGCGGAAAAAGCCGTTTGCTCTACGTCACCGACATTAAAACGAAAGTCCGCTACCTCGTCGACACCGGCGCAGAAGTTAGCGTTCTTCCAGCAACGACAAAGGAGCGTCATCTCGACCCATCCTTCAATCTTCAAGCAGCCAACGGCAAGGCAATCGCGACATTCGGGAGACGGTATGCCTACCTCAACTTAGGTTTACGCAAACCTATTCACTGGATTTTCCTCCTGGCAGACGTCTCTATGCCCATCATTGGCATAGATTTGCTGAACCATTACGATCTACTCGTAGATGCTCGCCGTCGACGACTGATAGATAACAACACAAAGTTATCTATTGGCGGCACCACCTATGTAGGTCCGAGTTTAGCCATCGTTAGGACTAAACAATCAGGCGACGCGTCCTACCAGGCAGTTCTGGAGAAATATCCAGAGTTACAACAACCGAAACACACTCTTCCGTGCATAACCAGCAATGTTATGCATCACGTCACAACCACAGGTCCACCTGTGGCATCCAAAGCTCGCCGTTTAGCCCCCGATAAGCTGCAAACGGCGAAAAATGAATTCGACCATATGCTCGAACTGGGCATTATCAGACCGTCGAACAGTCCTTGGGCATCGCCATTGCACATGGTGCCCAAAAAGGATAGCAACGACTGGCGTCCGACCGGTGATTACCGAAGGCTTAACGCCAAAACAACTCCGGACTGCTACCCTATACCCCACGTTTACGACTTGACCGCAACCTTATGCGGCATGAACATTTTCTCGAAAATCGACTTAGTCAAAGCGTACAACCAGATACCTATGGCAGCAGAAGATATCGCGAAAACAGCCATTATTACTCCTTTTGGCCTGTTTGAATTCCTGCGCATGCCTTTTGGTCTTCGGAATGCAGCACAAACATTCCAACGCTTTATGGACGACGTCTTCCGTGGTCTGAATTTTGTTCATGTCTACATAGATGACTGTCTAATTGCGAGTCCAGATAAGGAAACACACCTTA